AATAAATAAATAAATATAGATATATATGCCATATATAGCGTTTAATTCTATAACATGTGTCTATTATGTGCATAACAGCGTCAATATGTAATAATTCCCACAGACGCACAAAGACAGCGAACTCATTATAAACCTCCCCGGGAGGTCCAACATGAATATCCCATGAAATATCACGCAATGAGATCTATATTAATACGGGGCCAACGGCCCGATCGCACCAAACACATCGTAGCTATGACATATAGTGGCTTCCGTGTCGTAATGCAAGCTTATGTCAAATTTAATCAGACCTTGCTCACCGCGCAAGCTACCAATCAGCTGTCGAAGCGTACATAGCATATTAACAACGGAATATACAACGAGGTAAACCCTAGCAAATTGCCTCACAGCCGGAACAAGCTGCGAATATATATATATTCCGATATCATTCTTGGAGGAACCGATCGAAACCTCATCACGCCTAACGCTCAGCATCATGCCGCACATTACGTCACTTATCCTCGCAAATCCTAGCTACACCACAGGCGTTTTCCATGCCGAACATCCTTTGGCCTTTCTCAGCGCGTAAACATAATTATACAAATAACACTTAATATAGCGTTAAAAATTGCCTTATAAAGCGCCTGTCAATTATTTGGGCTCTAGTGGCACGCATAATACGTGCAGTATATGCTACTAAACCATTCAACGCTAACCCGCGACTGCGCATGCTCGCCTGCGAAGATACGGGAAAATGCATCGACACAATATTATGCATGCCGCTATTTGCTATGCGAACACTTTTCATTACGCGAAACACTAGTAAATGTAACGCGAGCGCGCGCACACACACGCACGCACGCACGCACACACATGCACACACAGACGCTCTTAAGCGCATGCACACATACACACGCACGCACACACACGCACGCACGCACGCACGCACGCACGCACGCACACATGCACGCACACGCACCACTACGAATAAAGCGCAGCGGTCACCGTTATTGCCGAATCATCGGCGGCTGCACACGTCATAACAACGTCAGCAACGCAGGCGATAACATCATCAAACAGAATGCACGTGCCCATTTACGCAGTAGTAATAATAAATATGTAGAGATATAGAGAGAGAGAGAGAGAGAGAGAGAGAGAGAGAGAGAGGCACGCGCGTAAAGGCGCAGATGTATTAGCCGCGAATTCATAAAGGGCATCATCGCAGCTGCAGTTTCTCCTGCTCGGCATATTGCTCAGCGCGTGCCACCTATAGCTCTCTCGTGTCCAGCTGGATAGGAAGCCGCGCGTCATCTTCCTTCCCCCCTCGTGTCCCCAATGGATTCATTTCACGATGTTCAGGTACTGCGCTGATCATCCGTAAGCCGCCCTAATGCGTTTGGCGATCTTCACCATGCTAGAAGTCCCACTCCACTGCAGCTAACACCCGTGGCCTCGACAGACCTCTCAGGACGGGAACGTCCGTCTTTGAGGTTCGCAGGACCGACGAAGTATAGAATGATGATACGATCTGACCGAGCATGCATGTCCTGAAGCCTACCGACCCGATAACAGTTCACATTTTTTCAACAACAGCAATCGGAGACAGCAAACCTCCGCCACAGCGTAACAGTCCCCCCATCTTGCTGGTACACCCAATATAGAGTTTGATAAGATTTTCAGAAATTTGAAAAAAAGATCCAGGATTTTTTTTTTATGAATTTTGAATGCGTCCGAAGTCTTCCCCACCAAATTTTTTTTTACAAAATTCTGGATCCAGATCACCACCAAAATCGAATCGATTGGTTGTTGGCCCAAGACCAACTCGTCCAAAAAATTCCATCAAAATCCGTCCATAACTTTTTTGAGATATCCTGTTGACAGACAAACCAACAAACTAACAGGGGCGAAAACAACCTCCTTGGCGGATTCGTGAAGGATGAGTGTACAGGTCAGGAGTGTTAGCATGTAGCGTAGCCACTATGGCTATTCCTGTATTATCGGCAATCCATCATACCGACTGCGGCACACACAGCAGCAATAGCCGAGTAACAAGATTGGATCGCGAAAATGAACTTTACGACGGTTGCGATAAAACAGGATAACAATCCAATACAACATCTCTTGTCTCATCCTCCCTCTCGCTTTCTCCGTTGTTCTTTTTCTCTTCTCTCCCATCTCTCTCTATTGCTCTCGCTCTATCGCTTGTCCTCTCCTCTCCTCTCCTCTCCCATCGCTCTCTTCTGCTGTTTGTTTGTCTGTCCCTGCTCCTGTCTGTCCCGTCCGTTCCGTCCGTCCGTTCGTCCTAGCAGTCCGTCGGTCCGTTTGTCGTACAGTCCTGTCTCTCTCTGCCATCTACTAACTTCCCTTCTTCCGCTTTCACTTCCCTTCGTGTCGCACCGTCCGTTCCGTCCCGTCCGTCGTTTCGTCAGTCTGTCTCTCTCATGCCAATCTACTACTTCCCATTGCTCCGCTTTCCCTTCCTCGTCTGTCCCTCCTGTCTTCGCGCTTTAACTCCCCGTTTCCTCTCTCCTCTCTCTCGGACCTCTTCTCTCTCTCTCGTTGCCCTGACATGTCTCTTGTCCTGTCTCTGCAGTTTCTCGCTCTCTTTCTCTTTCTCTTTTTCATCTCTCTCTGCATCTCTTCTCTCTCGCTTTCATCTCGAGAATAATAAACCAGGGTAAGCAATTTCATAACTTCTCGCAAGGGTATTTTTATTATGATACGTGCATCGGCAATAAGTCTAATCACATTTATATCGCACTAGGCCGCCCATAGATTCACTGAGCAAAAGTAATTTGCGACGTTCTACTAAAAGAGAGGAGGAGCAGAGAGAGAGAGAGCGAGAGAGAGAGAGAGAGAGAAAGAGAGAGAGAGAGATAGAGAGAGAGAAGAGAGAGAGAAGAGAGAGAGAGAGAGAGA